GACAATGGCAATATTTCGACCTGAAGGGTAAATTCATTTGAAGTAAGGCATACGTAGATGACCGACGTCGTCTCCTTTGTCTAGGTTGTTTGCGAGTTAGAAGTTGTACGCTCTTCAGAAGAATGATGATTACTATCATCATCTACATCCTGAACGCAAGCATCTGGTTCCGACGAACTGCGTTTACGTCCATATGTACAGAGGCTGCAATTAAACGCGACTCAATTTCGTAAATGTGCCCTTCAGCTTAGCAACCAATCAGAATGAGGCGGGAAGTATTATATCCGCCATCTTTGTAAGCAATGGCGGTCAGCTTTCTTCGTTCTGCGATTCTTTCAGCTATTTCCTTTGTGTAGCTATGTAATCGAATCAGCGATGTTTTCAGGGCTTTTGCTGCCTCTACTCAAGCTGACATGGTTGCGTTGCGGATAAATTCGCCCTGTACAGACAATAATAATAATAATAATAATTTATTCTCAAATAACAGTTTGTTACATGAGGCATGCCAGTTTACAGGCAAGATCAAATTGATACAAATGATACAATATACACTGCATTAAATTACATAGCTGGGTTGAAAATTTATAAGACATGAATGTAGATTGTTCTAATCAGTTCTACAGTTGGCGCGCTTCACGAGAGTTGCGTTGCGAATGTGCGACTGATGGTCAAGAATAGGTCCATTGAAGGTATGAGCTTCTAGAAATCGCAATCTTATGTCCCTTTGGGATATCCAAGGCTTTAAGGATGGTGCAGGATGAAGTAACCTGTTCCATATATCAAGGGGGCTGAAAGAAGGAGCAAGTAAAAGAAAACACGAGAGGCAGAGTAGCCAATATTCATGTAGGAATGTTTAAGGTATGATTACTCAGTCTAATTTTCTTTATTAAGGTATTTGTTAAGAAAGAGCATTTTAATAGGTTAAAGAAAATAAGCTTTAGCAAGGTGTGAGTGGACATACAACTGACAAATGGAGACGATTCGGAAAACAGCTGAGAGTATAAGATTATGTGTGATTATAAAATAAAATATAGTGCTAGAAACAGTATTGTGATATACAACTGGCTATCTTCCTTTTATTATCGAAGCTATTAGAGCCCCTCTCGTTTTTTTTTATTTGTTTTTTTTTCCAGGTTTTATAGGGTCTTGAGTAGGCTTCGTATATTAGCGAATTGTCTAGTTTGCTTGTAATAGGATTTCTGAGTAGGAAGTGAAACCAATTCAACGTTCGTAACACGATTTAAAGAGGTATTTTGCGTGATAAATCAGCTTCAATACCATAAGTCCGTGACATCCCACTAAACCATAAGGAGCCGTAATTAAACAAAATGTTCTGCCCTACAGACATGGGTGGATTGAAGTTATCTCCCCACCTTCATGTTTGCTGGTCAGTAACGCCACCCTCCCTCCTTTTGTGATGTTAGGCTCTCTTACGTTTGTGGTAAGTATGATTAATGCTTTAATCAAAGCACATAGTTGGAATACACTGTCTCTACTAGGTCCATGTTACAAGCAAATCAGATATTTAAAAATTCTGTTTTATAGGTTAGATGTCCATATAGTATATCACACTGCTATGAAAATAACTAATGGTTTAAAGAAGTTAGGATTGATAGTAAATCAAAAAATATGAGAGGGTATAAAGTTGTAGAAAAAAAAAAAAAGAAAAAAGATTTTAGGGTGAGAAAAATAAAACATTGAGAAACTCACAAGACTTTGTGGCCAAATTTTGAGCTTTGAATGATCGGCCTTAGTAGATCAGCATCCATAAGATTGTGCTATCTGTCTACTTGCAGTAGAAAAAAAAAAGCATGACTTTTAGGAAGAATAATGTACATTTAACCTGTAGAGATTTGGGGACTGAAAGCTAGGGTTAGGAGCATGAAATCATGATTAATAAACAATGAATAATAGGAAAGGATAAGCCATATATCCTGTGATTTGGTTATATTCAGATTAGTAACAGTCGAACTTGTTATAATCTTGTTCTTTCTAGATACTAGGCGGTCCGTAATAAAGTGCCTCATCGGTGGGCGGGAGTTCAAGGTAATGTTGAAGCTCTTTGGAGTCTAGAAATAGGTTTATTAGCTTTTTGAATCTGGTAAACGTATCACAGTTACGGGTATGCATTGGCAGCCTGTTCCACAATAAACTGTACCGTACTGTAAAGAACTTACAACGCATTTGTTTTTGGTGTTTTACGGTAAGTAGTGTATATGCGTTGTTTCTAAGTCTATAGGCTGGGTCGTGGGTAATAGTCGGGCAGGAGGTTAGAAAGGAGAGCCCATATATCGCTTTGTAGAGAAATATTAAATTGTGTTTTAGCCTACGGTGCCATAAAGGTTCTAAAGATAGATGCTTACATCTGTCTGTGTAATCGAGATTCGAGTTACATCCTAGTAGTTGACGTGTGAAACGTCTTTGAACATTTTCTACTCTTATCTTGTCTGCGATATTCATATTAGAGAAGACAAAAGAGCAGTATTCAAGGGTGGGTCGTACACATATTTTGTAGAGAGTAAGTTTACCCTCTGTTGTGAAAAAGTTTTTCATTATAAAACCAATTAGCCGTCTAGATTTAGAAATAATAGAGGAGGCATGTTCTTCAAAGTTTAGGCTTCCTGTGTATTTAATTCCTAAATCGTGTACTGATTCGAGTGTTTGGACTATACATTCATTTAAGTGAAGTCGCGGTTTATAGGGATGCTTTCCAAAGTGCATGATCCCGCACTTGTTGAGGTTAAATGGTAATTGCCATTTTTCACTCCATATAGTTAAGTTATTGAGGTCCTTTTGGATCTGGGATACACTTTCGCTTAGTGTCTCAGGCTTATAGCTGTATACTATTTTAAGATCATCAGCATATAAGTACGGTTTCCCAAATTCTATGGTGTTACATATATCGTTTATATACATAAGAAACAAAAGTGGCCCTAATACGCTTCCCTGGATGACTCCACTGGTGATTGGTCTAGGGGACGAGAGACTGTCATTGTACTTTACCATCTGTTTACGTTCTGTTAAGAACGAAGCAAACCATGAGTACAGTGGGTTGTGTATTCCGAAGGACTTTAGTTTGACGAGTAGCCTTTTGTGTGGGACCTTATCAAAGGCTTTCTTAAAGTCTAGGAATAGGACTGATACAAGGAGTCCGCTGTCTCGTTTCAGAGTTATATCATTCAGGTAGTCTACTAGGCATGTATCGCATGATCTGGACCTAAGAAATCCATGCTGGGAGGTCGACAAGAGATTGTTAGTTAATAGATGTTGGACTACAGCCGCCTTAACTACTTTTTCCATTACTCTGGATACCACTGAAGTTATGTTTATGGGCCGGTAATTTTCAACGTTTGCTTCAGGTCCTGTTTTAATTTTAGGAATGATATGTGTAGTTTTCCAGGCAGTAGGGTAACACGCTGAAGAGAGTGATATCGCAAATAGTTTGAGAAGCAAAACACACATATCATCACCTCCACGTTTTAGCATGCTAGATGGAATACCATCTGGTCCATCAGTGTAGGAGTGTTTCAATGTACTGATTGCCTTGGAGATATTTTGTACACTGAATTCTACATTAGTAATTTCACAGGGAGTTACTGGGATTGGTTCTGAATCATTAAATGGTTTTTCGTTAGTTAGTGAGAAACAAAAATGTTCACTGAATAATTCTGTGATAAGTTTGGGATCTTCGTATACTTGTTTGCCTTTAATGAATATACTCCCTCTCGATTTAGAGCGTTTAAGTTTATTTTGGAGTAGTATGGTGAGTGCAGAGGAGTTATTATTAAGTTCAACTGCACGTTTTTCCTGTGCTACTGCTTTTTGTTTACTTATTGCCTCTGTTCGGGCAAGTATTTCTGTCATCGTTACTAAAGAGGAAAAGTCATTTAAGTTGTGGAATCGAGTACAATGTCTTTGAAGACGTCTTCTTGTACTGACCGGTATATAGAGATCTTTGGAGAACGTAGGTTTACAGTATTCTAAAGGTGCGATGTTGTTGATGATACTTTTGATGTTGTGATAAAATATATTGGTTGATGTGTCGGTATTGTTTGAGGTAAAGAAAGTTCTCCAATCAGTGCTTCTTAGGTAATTGTGGAAGTTATTCCAATCAACCTTGCGATAGTTTCTACGAAGTGTTACGGTTTTACTTCTATCGGTTGTGGTTTTTACATTAAGGCTGCATATGACAATGTTATGATCACTACCTGGGAACTTTTTTCCAATATACAAAGTATTGGGGATGAGGCCACTGGTAAAGACTAAGTCTAAGATGTTTTGATGTCTGGTAGGGCTATCGACATACTGAGTCCATTGTCCAAGCTCTAGACATTCAATAAATGATTCATAACGTCTCGGCGCTTTGACTGGCAGCCAAGAAATTTCGGGCATATTGAAGTCACCACAAATGAGCTTGCCTGTGAATGAGAGGGATGATGCTAGCGTGAATACCTCCGATAATACTGCTATTTCATCTATTGATGCGTTAGGTTGACGATAAACACAGCCGAGCAGTAAGGTAACGGAATTCGACGGCTTTAATACAATCCATACCGAATCCTTCAGTTTGTTTAGTTCAGGCATATCACATAGCAGTGAGTTCAGGCTAGAGTGAGCGTAAATAAGGCATCCTCCGCCTCGTCCATTCAATCTATCGCTTCTATATAGGGAATAGTTATCTAGAGATATGCTTCGGTCGGAAATATTACTGTTAGTCCATGCTTCAGATATCATAATAACTGATGGTTGATATATGGATACAAACAGGGCTAAATCCGTCTTTTTGTTGCAGATCGATCGAGCGTTGATCAGACATATATTAAGCAAGTGGCCTACTAAGTTAAAATGGGTGAGGGTATTTCGGATAAATTCGTCGTAACCCTCGCGAGTGTAAGATGAGTTTGATGTGAGGGATTGGATGTTCTTCATTAGCTCGGTATTTTGATAGTTAAACTTATTGGGAGATGTATCAAATGAGCTGGTGAAGTTGATTGGAGAGTTTACCCAGGAGGAAAGGGTGGGAGTACTCTGTGATGGAAACTGTACGGAGGAAACAAATTTATGTTTTGCATGTGGTTTGAAATAACCTGGGCTATATGCTTCAACAGAGGTGTCACTAGGGGTCTTATTCCAAAAAAATCTTGTACAGGCCTACTGTGAAGTGTATGGTTATTTACAAAATAGTCTTGATGGTTAGACTCGTAGCCCCTGTTATGGCTATTCACGTTAGCGCGAGAGGGGTCTGCTACGCGTAACTGGGAGGAGTTGCGACTGTTGTTATACATGGGAGCCGTTGTTATGTGATGGGTCGGTACTAAAGGGTATGAGAAGTTTTCTTTTTGAGAGTAATTACAGTTGCGATCCTGGGGAATGTAGGTAGGGTGTGGAGTGAGAAACCTATTATTACCGTTCTTATTTATGGTTTTAGGCTTCAGGGGGTGATTTGGGTGGCCAGTTCTCTGGTAGTTTTCGTTAGTCTGCGTGTAAGAAGGCTTGCTACGTTGAAGCCCACCACCCTTTTTGTAACTTGGAGGTGTTGAAGGCAAGTTATACGATAGCAGCGGGGAGAACCTGTTCACTGTTCTTGGGATACCTATAGAGCAGTTGGGTTCAATCTTACGTGTTTCCCTATTCGGTATCATGAGTTTTGTCTTCCCATCCTTTATTTTCAGAGCAGGATTCTTTCGTTGTCTTTGTGAGATGAACTTACGTTCATTCAATTCTACTTGTGGAATGTCTTTAGGAGGACAAATTTTCAAGTGTATAGGTTTAGTTGCACATGTGTTGTTACATGACTCACATTTTAGTACATTACTGAATGAACAGCTGGGATTAGTCATGTCGTTATGGTTTTTGGTGTCAGTTGGGGTCCGTATCTTATCCAAAGGTTTCTGATCTGTAGACTCATCTAGATCAACAGAGTGATCAGCCGTATGTGGAGTGGTGTCATGCTTAATGTTCGTGTGTTTTAAACTATTTGCTGTGTTGCAAACTGTCTCTGGCTGATTATTAACTGTAACACTCCCATTCAATTCTATCGCTTCGCGTCTTCTTACACGACGTTGACAGGGCGTAAGGTCTGGAGTGACTTTTATATTTTTGTATGGAATTAGTGAGCTAATGTTTTTGCTCAAATCAATAAACTGCTTAGCATCGTTACAACAGCCAAACATAAACAAGAGGGGGCAAGTCGATCTGTCTGACTTTTTTCTAAGGCGGATGACTTTGCAGTTAACGTTCGGCATACCGCATGCTCTAAGGCAAATATCTCTTAACTTAGATGGGTGTGTGCGGTCGGGGAGGTTATACACAACTGCATTGAAGGAGGACATTACTCTCTTCGTCACTTCTCCAGCCACAAACTCCAAAATACACTCAGCTTTAGTGAGTTGCTCAAGGTTTCTGTCTGTATCAAGGCCCCATATATGAGTGAGGGGTGCTAATTGCTCAAGTTTGCCGTTAATTTCGGATAGAGAGTTTTGTAGCTGTCGGATGTCATTACTATATCTATCAGTATTTTGGTGCGTATGAGGTGGACCATTGGACTCTTTAGTTTTTGAAATTTTAGACTTAGGCCTTGGTAGCACATACTGTTTAGTAGACTGTGCTGACTTTTCAATGCACGTAGGTATAGTGTCTTGTATGTCAACCAGTCTTACCGTTGGCATACTGCACGTAAAGATAGAGGGGCTGCGACATGGAGAATCTGGTGACGATAGAGACATTTGTGTACAATGCACATATTTTTCAGTAGTTAAAGGTTCGACATTGTCAAGCACTGAGTCGTCAGTTGTAGGGGTTACAGATTTGGATCTTTTATTTGGCTTAGAAGTTGGTGAAATTCCTCTTTTACTGGAGTTATTGGACATGATATGAATATAAGTGAGCACAGTGCTCGTTAAATTAAATATAATATCTGAGTATTAGTTGTTATTAAGTATTAACCTGGTTAATACTAGGATTAGAGACTGTGAGTATATAATAAATTGCAGACCTATTTACGACTTAAGTCCGCAATAGGCACAATACGAACTGGTAATTGTCCGTCGAATAAAAATAAGTTTTTTTCTTATGTTTCGAGGTGAGATGTTCCCGATGTACAGGATAGGATGATAATCACAGTATAATACACCCTACAAAAGAGCAAGTCGAAGAATTCCTAAACCACGTGAAAAAAAATGTTACCACTTTCAAAGTTCGCGCCGACACATGTGTCTGTTACTAACCGAATTCGTGAATGACTTTACATTTCAGAACTGCCCAATTTTCATCTAGTTGGTCGCACCATTGTAAGTGGATATCGACAAGCCCCGTTGGATAAAGGCACAGTTCTTTGCTAACAATCCACTTCTTGGCTGTTATCATGAGTTGTTTCTTGATAGGGACGTCAACAGTGACGTATTGCTTGTTAGCGGGCTAAATATAACATAAGACGTAATTAAATGGTTAATCATTATGAATTAAGCACTGATGAAAGAAAATACACTTACATTATAGTATGCAACAATGGGATTAGAACTAGATAATTCATACAATTTATGGCTATACATTTACAATCTATGTCGTTAACCGATATCCAGGTGTGTTCATGGCTAACTACGGAGCACATACAGATTCCAATATCAGTAGATGGGAAAGGATCATAAAAGTAATTGCGTGGGTCAGTGAAAGTCCTAAATTTTAGTAGCCCATCCTCCTTTATATCAGTGACTAAACCAGGCTGCCGTTTACTACTACTACATTATCAGGCCTAAATGAAGTTATTTTACTATTCTCAAACATAATTACTTGTTTATTGGAGACATCATTAGCGCCTATTGGGTTAGTATTTGTTAAGCCACTAATTTGAAGCCTATCGCTGAAGGACATTCTCTCAGCATAACGCTGAGCTGCTTGCTTAGCTACAGCAAGCCCACTACGTACAGAATCCTTAATTTGTCTCATATAAGACTCGAATGGAAAGACTGAAAAGCTATCTAGAGGTCCATGTGCACGAACGTCGTCAGGTAGGTGCTGTAACGAATGCACATTGTAAACTAAGTTTTCAGACCCATAACACCATTCGTATTCATTCAGGAAGTTTAGTAAATCTATTCTGGCGGTTTCTACAACAGTTTTACGTAATTTGGGATGTGCAAGCAGATACATGGATAACGCTAAACGCCGTAAGTTAAGATACAAAGGTTGTGACAAAGTTTTTTGAAGAATCACTGGGCCTAAATACAGAAGGAACAACCTACATTCCGAAGCTTTCCATGCCGATACAAAGTCTAGTGCACGGTATTTACGCGGAAAGTCGGTAGGAGTACTTGCCACGCAACCTGATATTACATTATTTATTTCCCTGATTGCACATGAGTTTAAGTTCAGCAGTCTTCTGTGTGCCAAATCTATCCATAAATTCGCTAGTTTTTTTGTAACACAAGGTAGACTATGTGCATAGGATCTAAAGGAAAAGTTATAATCATATTAATAGAAAGCGTTTCCACAATAGAATGTCCTTGATGAGGAATAGATTGAGTCTGACGACGGAAGGTGTCGTCTGTTCTTGAAGTATATACCCCATTTGGAAAGGTCGTCTTCCCCTCCAGCCGTCTCCCAATTACAGTACACCTATCGCAACATGCCTTACCGTTATGATTTACAGTGTACCTAACAGAAGAACGAGCAGGTGCGTCACATATAACAGCCGCCAACCTAATAGATATGCATTTATTCAACTTGACATTAAAAAGACCCACGTCAGTCATTTCTTTTATTTCAGAAATTGTGTCCGCAGAAAATTCATTGAATTCTGCCGGTTTACTATTCCCTCTGTAGATCCCCATCATGAACACGTCACTAAACCTAGGGGCAATGATCCTTCCCAGTATAGGCCATAACTGCTGATTGGAGCTTCTAGACACAGAAAGTCCATCTATATTGATATATAAATTTAAAGAGTCAAAATCAATAGTACACAACCAAAGGTCAACGTATCTTAGCAGATTGGTTTTCAATCCTAGATGGTAGTAAACCCCACTGCCGATAAACTTAGGTTGAACACTTGGACATGTCTTCAGGACACCTCTGATGCTTTTCGGTACGTCCGGGATAAGAAATCGTAGACCATAGAGAACCCGATCAGCATCTCTTATGCTCAAAGATGTATTTGACATTATATACATGATAAAGTCGTTCATCAGGTCTTTGCGATTTAGGAACTTCTGAGAGCACAAGTTCACGTCAGTACATCCTATAAGATATATATTCCCGTGTGAATTCAATGTACATACCACTATAATCTAAAAGCGTTGGATTGATGTTGCTAGTGGATGGTGTAACAGTTGAAGTACTGTCATTACAACTGATTTCTTTCTTTACTTCTATCAATTTAATGATCAACACTGTTGAACTCAGTTACCTTTTATGGTGTTTTCATCAACAAACTCACTGAACGAAAGGAAGTCATATTTTTTCGTGAAAGCGGCTCGCATTTTATTCCACCTCCTGTTATAAGTGGTTCTATGACAACCAAGGGAACGTGACAAGTTCACAGTGGCCCTGCGTCTACGAACATTCTCACTGACTTCAATGCAACTCATAGTATTGGACTAGCAAGGTAATCAATTATAATGAACATGAAAATCGAAGAGCACGTCACTCACCTGCATCACGCAAGTTTTTTGTGATGGCTCCCAAGCATGTCGGAACACTTTAGCTAAACAAAAAACGAAGCCAGCGTATATGCGTCTTAACAGAATGCCTGGTTCCGTAATTTGTACCTTGATTTTATGACACTAGTTTTGTTTTTAAATTAAGCGGTGCCTTAATTTGTCGAAGTTTATGAAAACTTAAGTTCGGGATGCGGTCCATTCAAATACTGTACGTTACGTAGAACTGTCGACAAATTTCCCCCAAATACACGACGTAAGAGGGAAAAAGCGACTTTTCCCCTTTATTTACGCTTTCGTCTGCTTTATTTCCCCTGCCTTAGCTTTTATTTCCCCTTTTTAGGTTGCTTGCCCAAGATCCCATGGGATCTCACAAAAAAATAATTTAGAGTTGGATCATCACTGTTCATTTTGTCTACTGACATAACGTACTTGGTATGCGTATACTAAAAAATATTTATTAACCACCGAAGTCATATTACCTTATGTACTTCTTTCAAACAGGTCTCAAAATTGTCCCGACTTGTAAATCTTCGACGTAACATAATATCATTGAAGGTTCGTCCTATATCATACATCCTCACGATGGCATTGTCTTCGTTACTTGAAGAATGAACGTTATCAGACACAGCGTGGCTGAAGTCAATTTAAATCTAAAAATGTCTTGATTTGACCGCTTCTGAAAAAATTTCACGAATTGTCGATGTGACGCACCAATCATCTTGCGACAGCTTGACCTTGAAGTGCTCGCAAAATAGACATTGACCCACGTTTGCGTCCATATGACGCTGTAAAGGATCTTCAATGCTTTCTAATTCTTCAGGTAAGAAATACAGTTAAATGTATCATTAATTCCAGGTTCCAATGTCATTTCCAACTCTTTTAATTGAATCCGCATCTTTTGCAGCTAAAATTGTAGCTGTAAATCATAAACGTGTTACGACAATGAGACATGAATTTATAGACTCACGTCAGTCATTTCTTTTATTTCAGAAATTGTGTCCGCAGAAAATTCATTGAATTCTGCCGGTTTACTATTCCCTCTGTAGATCCCCATCATGAACACGTCACTAAACCTAGGGGCAATGATCCTTCCCAGTATAGGCCATAACTGCTGATTGGAGCTTCTAGACACAGAAAGTCCATCTATATTGATATATAAATTTAAAGAGTCAAAATCAATAGTACACAACCAAAGGTCAACGTATCTTAGCAGATTGGTTTTCAATCCTAGATGGTAGTAAACCCCACTGCCGATAAACTTAGGTTGAACACTTGGACATGTCTTCAGGACACCTCTGATGCTTTTCGGTACGTCCGGGATAAGAAATCGTAGACCATAGAGAACCCGATCAGCATCTCTTATGCTCAAAGATGTATTTGACATTATATACATGATAAAGTCGTTCATCAGGTCTTTGCGATTTAGGAACTTCTGAGAGCACAAGTTCACGTCAGTACATCCTATAAGATATATATTCCCGTGTGAATTCAATGTACATACCACTATAATCTAAAAGCGTTGGATTGATGTTGCTAGTGGATGGTGTAACAGTTGAAGTACTGTCATTACAACTGATTTCTTTCTTTACTTCTATCAATTTAATGATCAACACTGTTGAACTCAGTTACCTTTTATGGTGTTTTCATCAACAAACTCACTGAACGAAAGGAAGTCATATTTTTTCGTGAAAGCGGCTCGCATTTTATTCCACCTCCTGTTATAAGTGGTTCTATGACAACCAAGGGAACGTGACAAGTTCACAGTGGCCCTGCGTCTACGAACATTCTCACTGACTTCAATGCAACTCATAGTATTGGACTAGCAAGGTAATCAATTATAATGAACATGAAAATCGAAGAGCACGTCACTCACCTGCATCACGCAAGTTTTTTGTGATGGCTCCCAAGCATGTCGGAACACTTTAGCTAAACAAAAAACGAAGCCAGCGTATATGCGTCTTAACAGAATGCCTGGTTCCGTAATTTGTACCTTGATTTTATGACACTAGTTTTGTTTTTAAATTAAGCGGTGCCTTAATTTGTCGAAGTTTATGAAAACTCAAGTTCGGGATGCGGTCCATTCAAATACTGTACGTTACGTAGAACTGTCGACAAATTTCCCCCAAATACACGACGTAAGAGGGAAAAAGCGACTTTTCCCCTTTATTTACGCTTTCGTCTGCTTTATTTCCCCTGCCTTAGCTTTTATTTCC